TTGAGGTGGAGTCTCACTCTGTTGCCCAGGCTGGAGTGTAATGGTGCGATCTCGGCTCACTACAACCTCCCCCTCCCGAGTTCAAGCGATTCTCCTGCCTCAGCCTCCCAAGTAGCTGAAATTACAGGCCATGCCACCACACCCAGCTAAATATATATATATATTTGTAGTTTTAGTAGAGATGGGGTTTCACCATGTTAGCCAGATGGTCTCAATCTTCTGACCTTATGATCCACCCATCTCGGCCTCCCAAAGTGCTGGGGTTACAGGCATGAGCCACCTCACCCAGCCTATATCATGTTTAAAAAAAACATGAGGGACACTATTTAGAGCAGGGATCTGCATACTTTTTCTGAAATGAACTAGAGAGTAGGAATTTTAGGTTTGGCAGGCTTTCTCTCTACCACGATGACTCAAGCTTGCTGTTGTAGTATGAAAGCAGTCATAGACAATATGTAAACAAATGAGCGCAGCTGTGTTCCAATAAACCTTTATTTACAAAAACAGGCAGTGAGATGGATTTGGCCCATGGGCCATTATTTGCAAACCCCTGGTTTAGAACAACCCTGTCATGAGTTATTCTGCAGTCTTGACAACAAGAAGCACAAGACAAAGTGCTCCCTGTGATTAGCGAACTAGAGTCTCAGTTGAATGTCTGAGTTTTGGATTTTCATGTTTTGAGATGTTTTAAAGTAAGATACAGCTATTTGTAACACCTTGGTTAGACAAAAATGAAAGGTTAGGCATATATATATGAATTGAACAAAATCATTTATTTAGTTGTTTTGTTGTTAGGGTAAAAGTGGCAAATTCTCTCAATTCTTAAGCTTCAAGCATTACCTAGTTGCCAGCTAAAATTTATCAGGGCTTCTTTTGGTAGAGCTTGCACAATTGGCCAGGCACATCATGGACTTTCTCCTCTTCCAAACCATCTGGTTTATGGGCCACTATTAGAAATGTTGTATACATTGTACTAGCAGTGACCTTTGGTCTGGTCTCACCTCTTTTGCCGTACGCTGTGTTTTGTCTCTAAAACAGTAAACTGTGATTAATATTCATGTGAAATGCTATTAATGTGCAATTGATCAAAAAAGCAGAAATGTCCAAGTGAGTGGATCTGACCACTGTTTGTTTTCTGTTCACAGTGGCACATTTCAGTACACCCTGGAAGCCACCAAATCTCTCCGTCAGAAGCAGGGGGAGGGCCCCATGACCTACCTCAACAAAGGACAGTTCTATGCCATAACACTCAGCGAGACTGGAGACAACAAATGCTTCCGACACCCCATCAGCAAAGTCAGGGTAGGGGCCACATTTCTCAGATAAAGTACAAAGGAATCCGATGAATGGGATGGCTACCTCACAGCCTTGTAGAGTGGCTTGGAAAAAAAAAATAAAACCTTCAACATAAATAATTCTAGAACGAATGTCAGAGAGTAGGGGGCAAGAGCACTTATTGGCTTGTATTTTATCATTGTAATCAGTAACCGTAAACCCAGGGAAGGGACATGTTTGGAACGTGCTATCTGACTGTATCCAAGGAATTTTCCTGCTTCACTCACTGCTTACGTGCTTCCTCATTGTTGTTGTTTTCAATAAATTGATCTTGATTTTTCAAGTTAGTAGCTGTAAGCAGAACCTCTCTGTAGGTGAGAAAGAGCTTTGTTCTATTCTGCAAAGGAGAATGCAATTCACTCTGAATCCCTGGGCCTGGTGGAACTTGGTTTAAAAGCCTTCTGCAGCCCAGTGCTTTCTCAGGGTTCCAGAGAGAGGCACGATCCCCACCAGGAGTCACTTAGTGACTTTCAGATTCATGAGTTTTTAGATTCTTGAGTTTTCATCTGAGTTTTCAGATTCATGAGTGTTAGTGCTGCTTGTATGAAATGAAACTGGCGCTCCCTGCTCTGGAAGCCTGCCAGCCTCTGGTGTACTTGCTACTGCCAAGAAGGTGGGGGGGCCAGTAATCCCTCTCTACTGAAAAGGCAAATTATAGCACAGCTCTGGAAACAAGTGGATGGACTTTCCTGATCTGTTCGAAAGTGATTTATGCTGTTGTGTCCATGATGCCCAGCCCACCTGATTTTAGTCACAGCTCCCTCCTCTTAACCACTTCAGAACACTTAAGAAGGGAGCACATGGCGTGCCTAGAGTGCACATAACTCGGGCATGACCCCCAGTGCAGGTGGGGCACAGGTCCCGCACAAGGCTGAACCGCTGCAGTGAGAAAGTTGCCTGACGTGCTTTGTGCCCATCAGGAGAATTAGTAAGTTCTAACGCTGTGGTCAAGACCCTGGTAGAGAATATGCTATCACAATAATAATAACAAGAGTCATAAAATAACAATTCATATTTATTATCTTCTAACACCAGCCTCTGTATTAGGTGCCAACTGTCTAGTAACTTGTTGAAACTGACAGCGGCCCTATGAAAAAGGCACTATTGTTTTTATGATATTACAGATAAGGAAACTTGGTGATAAAATTTCAGAAGCTTGTAACTGGCAAAGCTTACATAGCTAAAAGATGAGGGAACCAGGATCTACCCCAGGCCATCAGATGCCTGAACCCAACTCCCTTTACCATGAGGGTGTGCTGTGTTGAGCAGCATGGAGGGCTGAAATACAGGGAAATGTTAGTCTGGATATATTTCCCTCTGGATATATTTTCTTTTTTTCTGAGATGGCGTCTCATTCTGTCAACCAGGCTAGAGTACAAGGGCGCGATCTCGGTTTACTGCAACCTCCGCCTCCCAGGTTCAAGCGATTCTCCTGCCTCAGCCTCCTAAGTAGCTGGGATTACAGGCACGTGCCACCATGCCCAGCTAGTTTTTGTATTTTTAGTAGAGGCGGGGTTTCACCATGTTGGTCAGGCTGCTCTGGAACTCCTGACCTCATGATCTGCCTGCCTCAGCCTCCCAAAGTTCAGGGATTACAGGAGTAAGCCACCATGCCTGGCCTCTGGATATATTTTCTATAAATTACATCCTCCCTCTCCTATATATGAGCATCTGGTGAGAGGACACTGAATAAATTTGCTTTTTTTAAAGCCTGTAAATTCCAATTGTGGGTATAACTCATATACACCCTTTTAAACACCGTTACCATCAACCTGGAATAAATGATGGGTGGTTAGTATTCTAAGGTCATGACAACAGTTTGGCATACAGGGACTTTTCCAAGAATTCTGCATTGCTGATATGAAAACAATTTAATAAGAAAATTTTATTTCTGTATGTTCTGTTTTGGCTAAAATGAAGAATTCCCTCCCCCCCACCCCTTATTTTTTAAGGACTTTAGCCTCCACCCTTGGAGGTTAAGTTGGCACCTCTCAGAGTGGCTCTTTCTTACTCCCTGGCTCTGGGGCAGGAAGGAGATTGTGCTTGTAACCTACCAGCATTTATTTCTGTGAAGAGTCACAACGAGTCATAATAACATTTCATTCCAAGTTGAGGCATGTAAGGAGTGGTAATAACAGTTTTAAACTGCTTTTTGCTTTATCATTGAAGAAATAAATTTCCATACCAAGAATACGCCATTATTTATGCTAATTTAGATGCTTGCCAGAAGAAATATTACTTTAAATGTTATTTTTATTTTGAGTAGAAATAAATACCAGGAAGCCACACAGTAAACTTTTACACATAAATGGAAAAGCTTGAGGAAGTGGGAGAGGGTAGAATGAAAAGCTGGCTGAGCTCACAGTTGCACCAGCACAGAGAATGGTTTTCTTTATTGTCATGTACCCAGTGCCTCTGAAGATCACACTGCTTGTGAATTTGCAGTAATATGGATATGTATTTCTTTTTTTTTTTTTTTTTTTTTTTTTTTTTTTTTTTTTTTTTTTTTTTTTTTTTTTTTTTTTTTTTTTTTTTTTTTTTTTTTTTTATGGAGTCTCGCTGTGTTACCCAGGTTGGAGTGCAATGGTGCGATCTTGGCTCACTGCAACCTCCGCCTCCTGGGTGCAGGCAATTCTCCTGCCTCAACCTCCTCAGTAGCTGGGATTACAGGCATGCACCACCATGCCCAGCTAATGTTTTTGTATTCTTAGTAGAGACGGGGTTTCACCATGTTGACCAGGTTGGTCTCGATCTCTTGACCTCGTGATCCACCCGCCTCGGCCTCCCAAAGTGCTGGGATTACAGGCTTGAGCCACCGCGCCCGGCTGGATATGTATTTCTAAACAGTTTTCCTAACCAACATCTGCTTTCTTGTGTAAAAATTATTTACATATACTTTAGGAAGGAACCAGGGTTTGGAGGAACAGCCAGCACCGGCATGTATTTGCTGTCTATTATTTGTCAGGTGCCAAGGTGAATGGCAGATACTGTTTCTGTCCTTAAATTTGATGTTAATTGGGAAGACATTGCCATCAGCTGAATAATTGTAAATAAGTAAATGACTACAAATGTGTAAACTGCTACAAAGGAGAAGGTGATTTTGGTTTTGGTTTTGGTTTTGAAGACAGGGTCTCTCCCTCTGTCACCCAGGCTGGAGCGCAGTGATATGATCACCACTCATTGAAGCCTCAACCTCCCAGGCTCAAGTGGGTCTTCCTGTCTCAGCCTCCCAAGTAGCTGTGACTTCAGATTGCACCACTGTGCCTGGCTTTTTGTTTTGTTTTATTTTCTGCAGAGGCAAGGTCTCACTATGTTGCCCAGGCTGGTCTGGAATTCCTGGACTCAAGCCATCTTCCCACCTCAGTCTCCCAAAGTGTTGGGATTACAGGTTTGAGTCACCTGGCCCAGTCCTAAGAAGTACTTAAGGAATGAGAGTCTATGAAATATTCTCTGGAATAGTAGGAAAGTGCCTGAGAAGTGTTTTGGATGTGGAGTGAGAGGAGGAGTATTCCTGATACTGTAATTAAAGGTTTTTTTAAGAAGAAGTTGTTTTTGGTACTGTCTCCATTTCATAAATGATGGTGAATTAATGTGTATTTAGTTTTGTGAGGCCGCTGATAATTTAGAACTGAAACGAGTTTTGAATTCTTATTTCTGCAAGATATAATTAGTTTCTTAAGCTAATTTTTAAAGTACATTCACATTATATTTAAATAGATATCATAGTTGCCCTTGTATTTTTCAGTGTATGAAATATCTGTAGTTTAGATCTATGTTCATCAATAGGAATTTGTCTTTTAGCATTTTCCTCATTTCCTTAGTATTTTTCTCACTAATTTTGATATTCCAGCCTGAGGCACTTAACTAGACCACAAACAGATGTTTGCTTCTTTACAAATGGCACCACATTTTATGTTTAAGGAGTAGAGATGTCAAAAGTATGCTTGTTTCTAATATAAGAAAGAAAAATTTTGAGGAGTTTTTGCTGGCCTCACAAAATAACACATTTGCTGATAATTGGTGAATCTGCTTGTTTATAGCCTCCTGGTAAAACTGATGTGGGACTCTTTTTTTTTTTTTCCTCCATGCTGTTCTTACTTTTCAATCATTTTTTAAGTAAGTCCATTTTATAGCAAAACAGACCATATAACCAAGCTTGTCTGGGCTTTTCTAAAGCAAGAAAAGCAACATGACACAAACACACCTCTGGTAGAACTTCTAGAACTGGAGACTGAGGCAACAGGCACTGGACCAAAAGTAAGCTCCACGATTCTCCCCTCTGCAGAGCGTGGTGATGGTGGTCTTCAGTGAAGACAAGAACAGAGACGAACAGCTCAAATACTGGAAATACTGGCACTCTCGGCAGCACACAGCGAAGCAGAGGGTCCTTGACATTGGTAAGTTGACCTTGACTTCCCTGTATAGTCCTCAATAGACTGACATGTTGTCTTGATGCCAAGGGGAGCCCGGCACAGTAATCACAGCTGAGCCATAGAGCTCTTGTGATGTGCCAGGCACTAGTCTATGCACCTGTCCTGTGTCAAGACATTAAGTGCTGATCAGACTGAGTAACCAAAACCAGGCTGAGAGCAAAGAGTTTTCTATTCTGTGACCGTCAACTGTGTCTCATAAAATCATAGTCATATATTTAGATTTGCAATGACCATTTCAGTTTCTAAAACATGTTTTCATGGCCTCCCCTTTTGAGCCTAATAGGCAGTCAGCAGGTCAGATGAACCCTTATCCCTGTGACATAAATAAACTCAGGCTTATGTGACCCTAGGGCATTTGGCAAAGGTCACGTGTCTACACAGTGAGTTTCTAGTTCTCTGTCATGTGTTCTTTCCGTTTCAACACATGCCTAGTGTAAGCAATGCTAGGTTATCAGGCAAGTGAACCATTTAAAGAAGGAGTGAATCTACCAGGAATCTGTATACCCTTAAACATGAAGTCCGTTCTGTAGAGATCAGCAGCCCCCTGGATGGCACATCACCCAGGGTCTAGTCTGGAAGGCAACACCCATGCCCAATAATTCACTGGGCATGAACTCATTGCCAAGGTTGGAAAGGCTGAAGGCACAGTGAGGCAATCCAGCTATTACCTGCAGGGCTGGAGAATCAAAGGGAGGAGAAGGAGGTGGGTGTTGGAGAAGCCACCCAGCAGGAGCCGGGACCACAGAGGGAGCCGCTTTCCAACGGGAGATGAAAGCACAGCAGAATCGCTGCCAGACACATTCTCAATGCCAAGAGGGAGGAGGAGAAATGTCCTGGATTCTCTCTGCTTCCCGATCTCCTGCCAGTGCCTCCCATTCTGCCTCCCATTGACAGAATTTGACTCAGAGTCAGAGGGCACATTACCCTGGAAAGTACAGTTTGTAGAATCAACCTCTGAGATGCAGAGCATAATAGGGGAAGTCAGGAAATGGATCTCTTTTTATTTATTTATTTATTTATTTATTTTTTTCTTCCCATTTATTTATTTTATTGCATTTTAGGTTTTGGGGTACATGTGAAGAACATGCAAAATTGTTGCATAGGAACACACATGGCAGTGTGATTTGCTGCCTTCCTCCCCATCACCTACATCTGGCATTTCTCCCCTTGCTATCTCTCCCCAGCTTCCCACCCCCCACCTTCCCTCCCCTATTTCCCCCCAACTGACCCCAGTGTGTAGTGCTCCCCTCCCTGTGTCCATGTGTTCTCATTGTTCAACACCCGCCTATGAGTGAGAACATGCGGTGTTTGATCTTCTGCTCTCCTGTCAGTTTGCTGAGAATGATGGTTTCCAGGTTCATCCATGTCCCTACAAAGGACCCTAACTCATCGTTTTTGATGGCTGCATAATATTCCATGGTGTATATGTGCCACATTTTCCCTATCCAGTCTATCGTCGATGGGCATTTGGGTTGGTTCCAGGTCTTTGCTATTGTAAACAGTGCTGCAATGAACATTCGTGTGCACGTGTCCTTAAAGCTTCCAAAAATCACTTAAAAGCAGACAGTAATGTATGTGTTTCCATATAATTTTAACACTTTCCATAAGAAGTCATTTCTCATTTATAGACTTTATTACCCCATTTTGCTGACTAAGATGCTGCAGTCCAGGTGAGTGTGGGCTAAGTGAAGGTTCCCATCATCTTGGGTGTGACAAGGTATTACTGAGACTTGCAAAGGATGATTACTTTGATTTCTTATACACTGCAATGAGGATTTTTCAGGACTTCCATTTTACCCTGGCTCGGACTCCTTGACCACAGTGGCAGAGTTTAGTGACTAGGTTAGGGTCAGAGACTCACCATAGAAGATATTGAAACTAGTTACTGGTTTTCATTGGAAAATAGTTAAGCCACATCTCACCCCTGCATCACATACATACACCCTTTGTATTAACTAGTCAAACATATTTATCGAATAAACAAGGAAACAGGCCTAGGAAGGCTCACTGACTCCCCCTCAGATAATTCGTGCAAGAGGTGGGATAAGATCTGTCTTGCCGACCCGAGTTGATAAACTAAACCAAGACCTGGTGACTAGAACAGGGGTTGGGGATACTTGCCTTAACCTGTTTAGTTAAATCTGCATAGAACAGAGGAACATTTTTATTTTATTTGAAAAGTTAGCCTTATAATTATTACCCAAGAAAATGAAAGGAGCAATTAAAGAGAAATATGGACTAGGTCCAAATAAGGCAAATAATAAAAGCATTTTACTGGCATACCTGTTGATCCAACTTTGCTATTGTTGCAGGGTTTACTTTTCTGAGACTGGCATGATTTCTCAGATCTTGTGAGACTTCAGATCTTCTCTTCTTTATCGTCTCTTGCCTGCCTTCAGGCTTTTCTTTCTGTATACGCATGTGTCCCCATAGGCACACACAGGCTTTATCTCTGAGATTTGTGACATTTACCAAGTAGCTTCATGGCTAACTTGGCTACTTGCTTCCAACCTGAGAACAAGGCATTAAATCTACCACTTAGTTTCAATGAAACATATGTTTTCTGAGCACAGTCTCTACCCTAACCTCAACCTGACATCTGCTCACACAGAGTGAGAAAATATGCAAAAATCTCATATAATTCATTCTTCTACTAGATTAAAAAAAATCAAATCATGTATTTCTCTGCTAGTGGGTTGTAAATACCATTTCCCATGTAAAGGAGCACTGATGGTGTCTTGGCACGTATGTCTGCCTGTCGTGCCATCATCTGCTTTAACTCTGGAGTATGATACTGAGAAAGTTTCTGGGGTCGCCCCTTGTCTCCACCAGGAGTATCATGAAGGGTTATGGGTACCTGCAGAAGGTGAAGGAAGGCAGAGAGTACGTCAGCCATACATTTGCCAGTTTGGGTTATGAACCTTCTAATGGCCTAAAAATTCAAAAAAATAAAAAAGTACCCGGAATTATTTAATGCATTTCTTTTTCAAAACCTCTGTGAAGCTGGAGGTTAAAGTCAGGGCTGAAAAGTCACAGTTCTCAGATCTCCACCAGCATCTGTGGTCTGCAGATTCAACCACGCTAGCCAGGCAGTGACCCTGAAGCTGGAACTAGAGACAGAGATGAGGCCCCCTTAGCTAAGCAAGGATTCTTTCTTTAAATGGATACATAATAATTATACATACTCATGGAGTGCCTGTGATATTTTGATATAGGCATACAATATGCAATGATCAAATCAGGGCATTTAGGATATCTATCGCCTCAGACATTTACCAATTCTTTGTGTTCAGAATATCCCAAATCTTCTAGCTATTTTAAAATATATAATCAATTATTGCTACTTATAGTCACTCAACTCTGCTATTGAATTCTGGAACTTATTCCTGCTATCGAACTGTATGCCCATTAACTGACCTCTCTTCATCCCACCCTTCCCGTCTCCCTTCCCAGCCATGCTGACCTCAAGTGACCCACCTGCCTTGGCCTCCCAAAGTGCTGGGATTGCAGGCGAGAGCCACTGGGCCTGGCCAAAACAACTCATTTTCTTGTTTAAAAGCCAAGATGCTAAGAGGGGAGAATTTTACCCAAGGTCACACACCTGATAAGTGGTATGGAGGTGGGATAGAAACCCAAGAATGCCAGAATGTGCACTATTTTTTAAAAGCAGTCATTCGTCATTGGTCATTAGAGAAATACAAATCAAAACCGCAGTGAGATACCATCTCATGCCAGTTAGAATGGGAATCGTTAAAAAAATCAGGAGACAGCAGATGCTGGAGAGGGTGTGGAGAAATAGGAGCGCTTTTACACTGTTGGTGGGAGTGTAAATTAGTTCAACCATTGTGGAAGACAGTGTGGCAATTCCTCAAGGACCTAGAAAAGGAAATACCATTTGACCCAGCAATCCCATTACTGGGTATATGCCCAAAGGATTATAAGTCATTCTATTATAAAGATACATGCACACATATGTTTATGATGGCACTGTTCACAATAGCAAAGACCTGGAACCAACCCAAATGCCCATCAATGATAGACTGGATAAGGAAAATATGGCACATATATACCATGGAATACTATGCAGCTATAAAAAAGGATGAATTCATGCCCTTTGCAGGGACATGGGTAAAGCTGGAGACCATCATTCTCAGCAAACTGACACAAGAACAGAAAACCAAACACCACATGTTCTCACTCATAAGTGGGTGCTGAGCAATGAGAACGCATAGACAGAGAGGGAAACATCACACACTGGGGCCTGTCAGGGGATGGGGGGCTAGAGGAGGGATATCAGGGGGTGGGGGAATAGGGGAGGGTTAGCATTAGGAGAAATACTTAATGTAGATGACGGGGTGATGGATGCAGCAAACCACCATGACACGTGTATACCTATGTAACAAACCTGCACCTCCTGCACATGTACCCCAGAACTTAAAGTATAATAAACAAACACAATTATTTGAAGTCCTCTCTTCACCATATACCACCTCTGCATTCCAGCCCCTAGCCAGTTCTTGGCACCCACCAGGACCTGACTACATGGAGACTGTCTGATTCACAGACATCCTGATTCTTCTGTCTGTGGCTTGCTCTCCAGACATGAAGGACATTTTGCAGTCGGGTGGTAGACCTCTTGGCTGCTGCTAGTTCTGACATTGGTGAAAGCCAGTTTGATATGCAGTTCTTGTATATTAGGCCGTAAACTGTTTGGCAGGAGCTGGGGACAGGGGAAGAAAATATTAGCAATGAGCTCTAACTTGATATAAGTAAACCAAATAAACCCAGGCCCAAGGGGATCCTGCTGCTTTTCAAAACACGTAAGTAAACTTGTCTAAGTCTCACAAGTTCATTCATGTGAGTTCCTTGAATAACAGCAAGTATTCAAGGTCATAAATAAGTTGACATTCTGTGGTTCCAGGAGCATTCTTATGCCAGTTGTACCTCCTGTGTGGATTTGCTAC